ATATGGAATCTGGGATCAGGGACTCGGTATTCAGAACAGTGTCAAGTCCCAGGTCACGAGCTCCAAGTCCCGAGTGCCGAACCCTGAGTCCCGAGTCCCGAATTTCGGAGGTCGGGGTTCGGCGACCCGGAGCTCGGCAACTGTGTTTGGTGTCAGGGTACTCGAACCATTGGAGATAGCATTTGTCAGTATTTTAAGTTTCATGGTTTATGTTTCGTGATTATGGAATCAGGTGTCAGGGACTCGGTATTCAGAACAGTGTTGAGTCCCAGGTCACGAGCTCCAAGTCCCGAGTCCCGAAACCCACACCCAGCAGTTGCCGAGCTCCGGGTCGCCGAACCCCGACCTCCGAAATTTGGGACTCGGGACTCAGGGTTCGGCACTCGGGACTCGGAGCTCGTGACCTGGGACTTGACACTGTTCTGAATACCGAGTCCCTGATCCCAGATTCCATATTCACCCAACATAAACCATGAAACGCAAAATACTGACACATTCTATCTCCAATGGTCTGGATACCCTGACACCCAACACAGTTGCCGAGCTCCGGGTCTCCGAACCCCGACCTCCGAAATTCGGGACTCGGGACCTGGGCGTCCGGAACTCGGTATTCAGAACAGTGTCGAGTCTGGAGTCCACAATGTCGGGGTTCAGGGTTTTGTTAAATGTGTATGGCAATAACAAATGTTAATTCGAGCGTATTTATACATCTTCCCCCAGTCTCAAATATCACGTGCAGAGGTCCGGGTGTCGGGACTAAGTACCCCGGCACTCGGGACTCCCATATGTCAAGTCCCGAGTTCCAATTATCGAATACCAAGGCTTGCATCCAAATTATTTAGTCCCACATATCACTTGGGAAATGCTCAAAATTGAGTATTGAGGTCCGGATCACAATTGGTACATGGTATTCATTTGTTGGAATGTATATAGGTCACAATGCTTGCTCTTTGTTTGATCTTTCACACGCTGTATGGACCATCCACACTAGCCCATCCACATGATGGAACACCAGCATAAATATGAACAGCATCCCTCATATACCATGCCCAAGCAATCCGATCCCCTTCCACATCATACACTCCATGTCTCACAATCCTTCCGGAAAATGCAATCATACAGCCGGAATTGTACTTGAACTCCAGCTGAAGGTTTGGCATTGTCATCCGAGCATTAGAATAGTCCCCCACGGTGGTGAGAATGTCGAAGCATTCAGCAATGGACATGTGGTCTTGATGATGGGGGGTTTCCCGATTGGAAATGATGGAGAGGGTGTTAAACACGGATGCCCAGTACTGCAGGGCCTCTGGCATCTGTGGCAGATCCTTGCTTACTGCTATATTTCCAAGGTTTGACAAGGTTCTCAACCCTGCCCAGTACTGCTCAGGATGCATGACTCTGAGTGCCGCGGACGCGATGGCTGCTGGCCTTGCAATGGCTTTGAGGATATTCTCGCAGGAAGGTCCCTTCAATGATGCAGATACCTCCGGATCGGACACATTCTTTGGGATTGGTAAGTATGACTGCCGGAATCACCATCTCATCAGATCCTACCTCGTGTCCCTGTTGAAACCATGCCAGAGATAGATTGATGCATCCGGTGTAGAAACAACAATCCAGATGGTGATGTTCTGAACTATGTGTTGGGTCTGCTTGCCTAAGCTGCTATGCTTGTAGTGACAAGTGCGTTCGACCCTAAAGGGGAAGCAAGTACAGCAGAGATCTAGGGGTTGGTGCAAAGGGTGCCATTCGTCGGCCGATGTAGAGCGCGGGAAAGTGTGTGAGGCGCGAGCGCGAGAATGAAGCGCTTAGGGCGGCCGATGCGCGGGAAGGTAGCGCTTGAGCGGCGCGAAGCGCGGGAAAAGCGCAAGGTGGGTTTACAAGCAGAGGTTCGTAATAGACGTTAAGGATGTTCTTATTGCCAATAGATACTGACTATGGCATGTGACGGATGAGCTTTACACTGATAGTGAGGTGCAGGGAGCTTCTATATGATTCGATGATGTAAAATATGAACTACAGGCGCTTATATATGTCTAAAAATGCGCCCCTGAAGCGGAGCCGAAGCGAGTAGGTAAGATATGTAATAAGGGTCCATGACATGAGAATTGAGCAATCATTAAATAGAATATGGTCTGATATGGAGAAAATGATATGAACACGTACCAGTGAGGTTAGTTTGGACAATGGATGGACGTGCGACGTAGGGCGCTTCGAGCGCGAGAACGAAGCGCTTAGGGCGGCCGATGCGTGGGAAGGTAGCGCGCGCTTGGCGCTTGGCGCGGGAGAGTTTCGCTTCGCATAGGGAATGATTGGAAGGGTATTGGCACAAGTTGTGCATCAAACTGTACTTTGAGACAGGTCGCATATATAGCCTCTGCAAGGCCACAGAGATATCAGTCTCTACACCGGGAGTTGCTCCAACATCTTCCGAGCCCCGGTTGAACAACCTTTGATTAGTTCGCCAATTGCCATCAGCCCTTACACTTTTTTCGAGGCTTGGAGAGAGCAAATCGGTGGCCTCCCTGATTTCCTTCTGTAGGTTCCATTGATATTCGATATCCATCGAGTAACAATGTATATTACACACCTGGGTGGTGTCTGTCAGGGCATCTGGGAGATACCATGCAATGATGGCACCGGATGCATCGAGAATTATTGCAGGTTCATCGACCAACCTTTTGCCTTCATGGCCAGGAGGACACCTCTCAAGCAACCTCGCCTCTCTATGTTCATTATGCCCGGTGTCCTTCGGGGAGATCAATTTGCTATATCTTGCAATATCCATCTGCATCTGAACTGTCATGCAGGAATTTGAATGATAAATAGAATTCTCCGAATCTGCAGGAAGACCCACTGGGATTTTTAGATGCCTTTATGAGTACATCAGCCAGGCGATCGCACGCCATCACCAGATCAGTGTCTAGGTTGGGGGAAGGTATGACTGGGCCTCCTCCAGTCTTCTCTGCCTTGAATTTCTGTTCAGTATATTCCCCTGCTTCATAAGTCACAGTCAGGGCCCAAGTGCGCCAGATGTTTATGCTATCAGGAGGGGAAGGGGAAGAACCGTTCATGCTGGATGTTAATCTTGGGAAATCAGACGCTGAATGCTGGATGTCCGGACTTTGGTATTATAGGGGGTGGAGATAGAGAGGATCAGATAAGGGAGCCATGGATAATTTTGGCTGTCAAAGATGTATTATTATCCATTGCTCAATGAAATACTACCTGATTGGAAGTGTGCTGGTCATCAGATATTCATTTGTCGACTCCTGGGTCCCGGAACTTGGAAGTCGGTACGGTTGACCCATATTTGGGTGGTCGGAATTTGGCGTCTCGTAGGGCAACACAAGCTTCGTACTGCCATATCAGGAGATCACCTGCTGCTCCAGGAACTCGGTAACTGTGATTTATTACCTCCTCTGAGTAAGGTTGACTCGCTGGTCATCAGATATTCATCTGTCGACTCCCAGGTCCCGGAACTCGGAAGTCGGTATGGTTGACCCATATTTGGGTGGTCGGAATTTGGAGTCTTGTAGGGCAACACAAGCTTCGCACAGCCATGTCAGGAGATCACCTGCTGCTCCGGGAGCTCGGTAACTTTGATTTATTACCTCCTCTGAGTACGGTTGACTCACATTTTGGTGGTCGGAACTTGGCTTCTCATAGGGCAACACAAGCTTCGCACCCCGGATTCCACATTCTGCAAGACAACCTAAGCACCATCAGAGGCCATGTCAAGAGAGCACCTGCTGCTCTCTTCAGAAACATCTCAACTTCGGTTGGCCATTTAACACGGAAAGTATTAACTAAATTATGTGTTGAGTTCCGGGTCCCGGAACTCGGAACTCAGAACTCGGTACAGTTGACTCCAATTCTGGTGGTCGGAACTTGGCTTCTCGTAGGGCAACACAAGCTTCGCACCCCGGATTCCACATTCTGCAAGACAACCTGTGCACCATCAAAAAGTATTAACTAACTTATGTGGTGAGTTCCGGGTCCCGGAACTCGGAACTCGGTACAGTTGACTCAAATTCTGGTGGCCGGAACTTGGCGTCTCGTAGGGCAACACAAGCTTCGCACTGCCATGTCAGGAGATCACCTGATGCTCCGGGAACTTGGTAACTTTGATTTATTACCTCTTCTGATTTGGTTGATGTACAACTACCTCAGCTCCATCATGTCTACAATTATGATACACATGGGCCCACCCATCTATATTGTATACCACCCTCGGCCCACCGGTCTAATACAACATCCCATACAACACCCTCGGCCCACCGGTCTAATTAATATGTGTCTGGGCCCACCCATATAATACAATATTTTATAATACCCTCGGCCCACCCATCTAATTTAATATGTGTCTGGGCCCACCCGTGAATGTGATAACAAGTACCTACCCATCTATCTCATACACATCTACCTTAATACACCCATCTGCATAATATCCAACTACCTCGGCCCACCCGTCTACCTAATATTCATTTACATCGGCCCACTCATCTACTCTATATATTCCCTGCATGGGCCCACCCGCCTCCATCGGGAATAATTTGCCTCCCGGCCCATCCGTCATAGTCGAGAATATTTTTATCATGGGCCCATGGTCCGCTGGCCCATATCATACGGGATATTATGCACGTCTGTTCCCTCGTATTATACAGAGATAGGTCACTGTAGTATGTGCAAATATTTAGCCCACTCCTGCAGGTCCCATGTGCACAACGGATAGTGTGGAGCGTCGGGATGAGATGCATCGACCCAGCAGAATGTGTCCTCTCCAAGCTGATGGTCGGAGCAGCGTAACTTACTTGTGACTGTTGCCAACTCTTTTTTGTACTCGCCCGCAGGAGATGTACCTGCCTGTTGTCGTATTTGCTTCTCTTTTCAAGCCTGCAAGTTAATGTCACGTTGTGCCGCAGACTGCTTGAAACCATCCAAACACATACAGTATTGAGAATTTCGATAAAAACTTGCTTTGTTTTCCTGCCAGATCCCTATTCTGTCCTCGCAGCCTTGAAAGCGCTATCAAGATCATGCGATGTTAAAAGTCGATGAGGTGGGTCTAAGCGGCGGGCGGTAGACAAACGCCACCCCAAGTGTTGATATGTCTTTGAGACATCCATCGTGGCCTTAATTGAGTCGAGTATGTCTATGCGGCAATCTGATTCGGAGTGAGAGCGGTCCACATAAGTAGTTGATTGGTTTCTATCCAGAGTGTGTAAAGGAATTCTAAACTCGACTAATGCAACACGACATGATCAGCATCTCATCAGACCTGAAATACACACACTTAACGTACTTTTGTCGAGTTGAACCTGGCAAGGCTGTTGTACGGTGAGTTCTTCTAATGATGGGGTTTGAGTCATCCGCTCATAAAAGTGCCGGACCGCGCGCATGCGAGTGATCTCACTGGCCCCGACACTGGGCAGGTCCGGACGAGTTCCAAGGAGGAAAGCTGCGGTTTGTGCATGAGTACGCTGACGAGCGGAAGTAATTGATTTGACCATAGAGTTAATAGAAGACTGCAACCTGAGAGCGTCACTGGATATAGCGAGAAAACAAAATATTTGAACTCACCGCAGCTTTATAAAATGCGACGAAGGATGTCATCATACATTCAAATCATCTCGACTAGTATGCCGTCAATCTCAGAGAGGAAAACTGGGCAAATAATGATCGTAAGCATCTTGCCCGGGGCTAACTACTTACGACTCAATACAGAACTGATCTGAGCCATCGACCGTGGCCTAAAATGGATCCTGCCAGGTTTAGCTTTGGGACCGATGAATTTGAAGTCGGAAGTTTAAAATGATGAAACTCACACTACAATTTAACCATAAGTAGTGCCTCCGAGTTACGATGAAAACGTCATGGAATGTTTGCTATAACAGCGGATTGCAGCAGATAAGTGGTGAAGTCCTGCGGCGGATGCTGGGAAGGCGAACGTAGGGTGCTTGTACCCTCCCGTGGATGCGGAGGCTTATGTGGAATGTTGGTGCTATGGGTAGGCTTGTTCCTTGAAAAAGCGGCTGAGATACGACTTGTTAAAAAAGTCAGGCTGTAATATCGACTATAATAGATCGTCCTCTGATCAGATACATTGCTGTATCTTCTACTCCAATCAAAGACCGTGAACCTTCGGATCTGGACCGTCAATAACCATCGGTAGCTGGCATAGCTATCATGTGCTCACCGAGAGATGTGGCATTGACCAACAACCCGGTTTTCCCCACAAGAGGCTGGACTTCATCCAAGCTCCTTATGTATTGCCGATGGAACACGACGCCACGAGACTCGAGCTCCGATCGAAGCCATAATAAATATTCAAAAGGGTTGACACAGCCTGAGACCGTGGTGAAAGCAGCGCCCACTTTGCATGGTGCACGGATTTCGGACTCTGAGAGTAATTTGAACTATCACTCTTGTACTTAGAATCTGAGGACAACAGGATACCGGAATCGAGCTTACATCACGCACGAGGTCTTGCCACCAGATAGTAGAAAGAAGGCCATCCGTCTCCCCGAGGACCTTGGCGGGTGCTCTCTGGAATGTTTATCAGTCATGCCCATTGACGAGCGTTCAAAAAAAGACTGACCTTGACCAAGCCTGATGGTGCCATGTCCCATAACCTATTCCTGCCAGGTTTAGCTGTGGCACCCACGACTTTGAAAGCGGAAGCCAAAAAGAAGACCTAATCAGTAGTCGTCAAAGCTCAAACCGCAAGAATGTGAGTTACAACAAGACGAGAAATCTGAGTAAAAGAGATATCCGAGGGGTTGATGGGTTCCGGGGATATCTCGATCCCAGGATATACTTGGATGACGACCAAATTGGTGAGTCTGAGTCCGAAGACGAATGTGATGAAATAGGGGAGGAGGAACTTGGAGATGACGAAGATCCTGACAGCTTTGAGTTTGACGGGGAAATTGAGGAAATGTTTGATGACCTCTCGTTTTGATATCCAAGTCATTTCACTATAGCTGCTAGGTATCCGGCGCTGGGACAACGATTGGCTGACGGACCAGACATGTAGCCATCGGTGAATGCATGACTTTCTTCAGTATATCTTAGAATTCATCAATCACGTTTGGTTTTCAAACGAGAGAATGCTGTAAACGTCCAGGCACCTGTGTGCGTGAATTATTTACCTTTTTGTCAAAGACCAGGCCTAGATTCAGCCCACAGCCCGGGCTCAGCGCTCAGGCTCGTTTCGTCCCACCTCACGTGTGTACTGTCATCTCTCTTTGTTCTTCTGCCATCCTTGGTCGCTGTATTCAATTTCAGGTGCAATCTCGCATTAGAGATGTCACGGTAGACTCGAGCAGCAAGTCCTTAGTTTGCTGGAGAAGCACTATACGGTGAGATCACTATGCTTCTCCCCAGATGGCAAGAGACTCACAAGCGGGTCATTGGCTGGCAGTCTTCGGTGTTTTCAAGTTATGTCAACGGTTGTCTTCAGCCCAACTAACATTTGCAGAACATGAGGCTTGGAGCCATATGGCTATGTCAAGGTGCGTTGTAACAAGTTCATTGGAGCTTCTCGTGCTGAGGTGAAACATTAGGTTGGGATCGATCTTCCGACATCTTTCGTGTTGAGGTGAGCATATGAAGTACCACATTTCCATACTTGTTTACACTATTCCTGCCTACATCAGCAAAACCGCCACCACCTGCCAAGAAGGCCGCTGTAGCGCCTACTACTTCCGCGTCAAAGCCAACAGCCATGAAGAAAGAGACGAAACCCGTTCTCGCCGTCAAAGATGTTCGTTCCGATTCCTCATTCTTTTCTGTGCCGAAACCGAAAGCCAAATTACTAAGCTTCAAGAAAGCCCTGGCGCCTGTCAAGAAGGAGCCTGATCTCAATGTTGCGCAACCGTCATCGATCGTTCCATTCCAGGAGGCACTGAAGTCAATGGGTAAAGGGCGTAGGGACTCTCCAGTGACGGCCACACTGCCACCAGCTTCAATGTCGATTACGCCGCCCCTGGTGACTTCTGGAAGAACAAAGAGAAAATCCGTGACTTACAGTGGCTCAAAAAAGTGTCTCAATGTTTGTAACTTTTCATGTAATTGCTTTATTATGAGCCAGGGTGTGGGAATATGACTAAACTGTAGGGAGGTGTCATAAAGCTATACTTCTTAGCCTCATTTGAGTTCCCTATAGCGTGGGAAGCTGATGTCATCATGTGCAGATATGGCTATTTTAATTTGGTGACTCATTGAGACACTTTTTTGACTTTCAGTTTGATCTACACAATCTCTATAATTATGATACTTTATGTGACCTCCTGTTGCTCTAATCACTTCTGCCACTCTTCTAGACATGCTATCTATTAATTTTGAATATTTCTTCTTAGTACTCCTTTCTCAGTATGCTGCAACTCTGTCCTACAGCTGAAATAGCCCCTATGATGAATTTTAATAGGCTGCAAGCAATTTCTTGAATATTTTTCAGAGATATTTAATAGGGCTAATGTATAGGGACTATGCTAGACATGATAGAATATTGATATCATGGTCTTTGAGCTGCTAGTGACTAACTTAGACATGTACTTAGGATCATTATTTTATTGTAACATAGTATCTTCCTCATTAATCTATGATTTCTGTATACTTCTTAGTAGACTCTCATCTATAATAGAGATGTACCACTTGGTATTAGTCCTTCACTTCACTTTACACAGAGAATATACACTCTATTACATCTCATACAGCCATACACTTCTATGTTTGTTACTCCACACTTGAGATAGTTTACACATTTTTTTCTTTTAGTGGTTCACCTATCTTTTTACAGATGTATTCCCAGCCATCTGACCTCATCATATTTATCTTAGTCCAATCTTATAATATAGTCCTCTTCCAGTCCTCTTTCAGTCCAGTACTGGTGCTTCAAAGCTAAAGTTTACTTCCTCTTTCTATAGGCCAGGGATAGGAGAGCCTCTTCTTCTTGATTGTAGCTTTAATATTTGTTGCCTTGCAAGTATTATTGATGGTTTGAGTGGAAACAGAGCTGGAGATGATGGAATTGATGAATTAGGTGGCCTGAGTAGTATCAGCAGTCTACCCAGTTAGAATATGGTAAATGTGAGATCTTCATTCATGTGAAGTAAGCTTTCAATTTAGTCACCAGCAGCTCAAAGACCATGATATCAATATTCTATCATGTCTAGCATAGTCCCTATACATTAGCCCTATTAAATATCTCTGAAAAATATTCAAGAAATTGCTTGCAGCCTATTAAAATTCATCATAGGGGCTATTTCAGCTGTAGGACAGAGTTGCAGCATACTGAGAAAGGAGTACTAAGAAGAAATATTCAAAATTAATAGATAGCATGTCTAGAAGAGTGGCAGAAGTGATTAGAGCAACAGGAGGTCACATAAAGTATCATAATTATAGAGATTGTGTAGATCAAACTGAAAGTCAAAAAAGTGTCTCAATGAGTCACCAAATTAAAATAGCCATATCTGCACATGATGACATCAGCTTCCCACGCTATAGGGAACTCAAATGAGGCTAAGAAGTATAGCTTTATGACACCTCCCTACAGTTTAGTCATATTCCCACACCCTGGCTCATAATAAAGCAATTACATGAAAAGTTACAAACATTGAGACACTTTTTTGAGCCACTGTAGGCTCCTGATGGTCAGCTAGAATTGATCCGGCTGATAGAACGAGCTGTGTACGTTGATGACCCTGTTGATGTCAGCATTCTACTCGTTTTTTATGTTGGTGTACAGTACTTATATTGATGTCACGAATACCTTTGTGTATTTTGTTCACATAGGGTGTCCATACTGCTCACAGTTTGCGCGATCTGGATCGGGGAGATGGTGCTGCTCTACATGCTCCCCTATTCGAAGAAGTTATCGAGTGGACGGATCCAATAAGTGAGCAAATTATCATTGTTATCACGAGTCGCTACCAATTAATAAACGCAATCTATAGATCTCGAATTCGATCTCGAAGTGTCCCAACGCGGACAGAATAATACAGAAAAGACGACTCAGGAGGAGCGTGAGCAAACAGCTTTGGGTGCACTATACATGTCGTCAGCGCAGATACCTGACAGTCCTGGCGAGCCCACAACGATAATCAGTGATGACGAGATAGATGTGGACATGAAGACCATGACGGTGGGGTCAGAGTGCGATAATTTCTTCTGGAGAGAAGCCAATCTACCTCAGCCCAACGCCGCATCTGTCGCCGATCTCGTAGGTCAATTATCGGGAGGTTTTGATTCGATGAGTGCGCCCAGTAGTGTGGGTATCCAATCATTTGGCTTTGATCCCGCAATGCTTTCAGGTCTATGTCAGGCTGCATTGATACGCCCGGAATTCAAAAATCAAAAGAAGCCAAACACGCCGTTTTGTGACGTCGGATGCTTTTCCAATTCATGCTATTCTGGTACACGTGGGAGATCAGGTTACATGGTATGTGGCGCACAAACGTTCCTCTGTTTCTAACCATCAAACGCGAACGGACAGGTCCGATTTTGGTACCTTTCTTTTGACGAGGCTACCCTGCGGAATTGGCAAGGTTTGGACAGGATGGATGCGGTAGTACGTCCCAATGTCCACTGCATGGAGGACTTGAATGCATTCTCGGTGAATTATGGTGAACCGTCAAAATGCGCCATTAGGAATATACTTCACGTCGAATCGAACGACAGCCCAGTTCTTGACTCAGATGACGTTGAGGTCGAGTACCTTGTTGGACATACGCATCGCCACGAGGAGGGTATCCCTCTTCTCGTGGAGAAGTTCAACGGGCACATCTACGCACATTTCAATGAGGCCAACCAATGAGCCCAAATGGAGTAGTAATATCAATGATATCCGTTTCACTCAAAGAATGAGGAAAATTGGAAGAAGCGCCCCTCGATTGATTCGTGCTTTGAAGTTGGTTTCACTGGACCTCTTAGTTTGATGAGGACATATATGGCCTCGATATTAGCACACATTGTCCGAAGAGCTGTCCAAAGACCATTTGAACAAGTTCGGCGAATTGATTCCAGTTGTTAACTTACTAATTCGGGTGTCTGCATAGCACAAAGTGCCCGCTGCGCCTCAAGACACCTACAGTTTGAGAAAGATTAACAATATTAATTAATGGTAGTGAGCTTTCATCCCTTACTGACTACAATGGCGGTTGTTGCAACTCTGCCATGAATCGCCAGGCTAAACTATATTTTTTGACTGGTGCTAAAGCATCAGAAAAAATTTGGTGCTATAGCTCTAGCACTTATTCTTACATAGTGTACATAGCATTGGCTACCTTTAGCTAGCTATTTATAGCCTTCATAGTACCCATAACTTATCATTTTGGATATGTGATACATATAATACTTCTGGTCTGTGTTGTAGCTCCCCATAGCATATGGCCAAGGGCATATACTAGCCATATATCTAGAACTCACCATTACATGGTCTAAATAGCATCCATAGTTTCTCTAGTATATTGTTCAGTTATATTGTACATGTAGCACAACCTTTCAGTCTTATAGTAGCCGATATGTCTTAACTTATTTTAGGAATGGCAATAAAGCACTGGCATATCAGATTATTATCACCCTATATCTGTGAGCCTCGAACTCGACCATTGGTCACCCAATGCCTTCTGTTGCACAAAAAAATCAAAATTACCACCATGCAAAATGACATGTAGAGTGTGAATAGAATACTAGCTACTACTAGTACTAGTAGAACTCCTCCTTCACGGGCCAACAGTGTCGCCGACATCGAATTCAACACTTTCCTCGTCCTCGTCCTCATCTTCAGCTTGAGCGTGAACTGCATCCTTGTGCACGATGCTTACTGGTATAGGAGCGACGTCTTCAATGAAACATTTTGCTGCTAAGTGGAGTGCCAATGCATGCTCCATGCAACTGTAGGCACTCGGAACCGCCTAGCAGTTCTTCATGAACCCGATCAGTCTGGTCTAGAAACTTGAAGCACCAGAAATGCCTGGCATCTCTGGTGTTGGGCGAGAAGCGAGAAGCAGACTGCGGGAGAAACTCGAATGTGCTTTGGGAAATAATTAAGACTCCAGTAAAAACTTGAAGCACAAGAAATGCCTGGCATCTCTGGTGTTGGGCGAGAAGCGAGAAGCAGACTGCGGGAGAAACTCGAATGTGGGTTTCGAAATAATTAAGACTCCAGTTCGCGGCACCAGAAACGCCTCGCGTCTCTGGTGTTGGGCGGGAAGCAAAAGCAGACTCCGAGAGAAACTCGAATGTGAAATGGCTACGACTCCAGTCCATAGTATCAGGAAAGCACCAGAGACGCCTCTAGTAAGTGTAGTGCCAGTGCGTGCTCCATACATCTGAATACTCATCAGCCTCAGTGATCGTGATCTCGACTTGAGTATTTAATCGACAAACTTACCGTACTCGATGCTAACCAGGCACTTGTGACGCGATGATGGAATGATAGTAAAATCTCACCAGATAGATTGATAGGTATGATGGTCGATGAAGTTATTGATCAAGAAGTGCTCGCAGCGATCAAGAACATTGTTCGATGTCCATGCACGATTCGCCCTTCGGCCGAACCTTGGCGCTAACTGGCATGTTCGAAACATAGAATCCACCTCAATCACTGAGGCATCTAGCACGCCATTTCGATAACTTCGGGAAATAGGGTACATCCCAGAGTTCGAATCCTTGTTCCGAGATCGTGAAAACCATTCGACATAGGCAAGATGTCCGATCTGCCTTGGGAGAGACATCTTCGTGACATATTCATCTGGAATGCGGAAAATAACTTTGAGTCGTGCTACTCATTTTCCTATCAGGCATTATCAGTATTTTGCAGATAGCAAGACTTGAATGACAGACCATCGATGCCAGTATCCTCGCTCTCGCACCCCAACTCGTTGATAAGAACTGTGTCGAATCGTGCGCCTAATTCTCCTATGCCACCAGTCTTCAGTCTTTTTGGCTCTGCATGTGCAGTGCACAAAGTGGCAAATTCGGTATCAACTTGCAAATTCGGAACCGCAAACTTGATACGATACCACACGTCAACTGCTTCCAAGTCTCATAAGATATTGGCATTCAGGTTGCGGTTGCCTCATCGACGTTGGGAAGTAGACTGAAGCTGGTTGACGATGAACTCCCCGAGGGCATCCTTGAAATGCGTGGCCCCGAATTGATTTTCTAGTACGTGAAACGGAACGGCACACGCGGAAGGATTCTTCGCAAGGTATACACCAGGTGACAGAGGCCTTCGCCAACGAGTGCGGGGCTTCGGAATCTCTCCGCGCCTCCATTGAAGGACCAAATCAAAGGCAGCCATTGATTCGTGTCGCTCTAGCCATCTCGTCATCTGTTGCAAAAACTCCTTCTTATTGGTAGCCCTGTACGCATCCTTCGCGTAGTCGATATGGAGGCGCTCAGTAGCCTCAGTGTTGTAGTTGTCGGTCGTGCCAAAACGACGGATGGAGTTGGCATAATGTTCGAGCGAATGCAGCTTGGCGAAGTTAAAGTCTTCACTGTTGCGTGCACCAAGATTGATGAAAACATCTTTGTTGGCGTGGAATTCATCCAATGCACTTGCGAGATACCCAAGTGTTGCCTCAGTATGGCTTTGGTACTGAGCGATTTCAAGGAAATCTAGGAGGCTACGAGTGGCACAAATCACTCCAGCGGGTGCACCTGGTGCATCAACAATGCATCCTAGGAGTTGCTTGCATATTTCGCGATGTTCAGGACCAGAAACTTGGGTGAGGCCGGATATACCATGCGAGAACAGACGGACGCCGTGCGCACGAGGCATGCGCTTAAAGCGAGCATCCAACTCTGCATCGCCGATAAGGGTCGAGATCCATCCACAAAGGTGCCTGACAAGGCCTTGGTATATTTGATGAAGAATGTCTGGAGTAATGGCGTCATGAATATTGCAGTGCAACAGCTCAATCCAGAAAGGGTCGAGAATTAGATTTAGGCCATGGTCTCTCACAGCTGCATCAGCTCGAACCCTTGTTGATTGCTGACTAGCGTGGCGAATGGTGCGAATTGATTTTTTCTGATATCGCGGGTCTCCGGTGACATGATTACCTAGCTCATCCTTGGTAACAAAGCACTTGGGACACGTCTGGGCGTAGCGCGTGCACGTCACCAATGCTTGCTCTGGATAGTCTGCGACATAGGCAGCGAGCACAGGAAACCCGAGGCGCACTGCCCCATCTCCACTTATAAGCTCTATCCCATTGGCCAGAGGTCCAGCACGCAGCGAGCTGGTAACCATCCGCATGGCATAATGAAAGAGCTGCGCACGAGTAAGGCGGGCGCTATCCACCGAGATATCCGTCCCATCTAATGAAACGGTCGGAAGGTATCCAATGAGTTTCTGGGTGTGAAAGGATGGCTTGTGGCGGATAGACTTCGAGATATTGCCAATAGTAAGATAAACGGGGTATGCGGTTTTATCACCTCGAAATTGGCAGAGCTGGGTCTTATCTGAGCTGAGTATGACAGGAACAAGAGTAGCGCCATCTGGAAGGAGTGTCTGAAGGACATTCAATACATTGCCAAAGAAACATTTAAAACCACGGACCTGTGCCTCCCAAGACCAATCGCCACTCATCAGTTCGTCGTAAATGCGCTCGACTTTCCCTTCATCTGTGAAGCGGTGTTCCGGTGCATAGGTGAGGTGGTCGAGATAGGCAGGATTAGCCCACAGTTCTTTGATGCATTCAACAGGATCGCACATGAACAATTCAAACTCTTCATTGATGCCTGATATCTGAATGACACTGCGGCGCCACGGAGTAACACCAGGGAGTTCGTGATCGATTTTTTGGTGGAGCGCGCGGGCATTCTTGTAAGAAAGGTCGAGTTTACGTTTCACCTAGCAAAAATACTTTAGTCATAATATCAATGCCCCCGCTACGTACTTACCTGATCAATGGACAAAAAATTCGAGAAGGCATTTTGACTTGGCCCTTGCTGTATGGCCCACCGAGCTATCTCGTAGTCACATTCACTGAGAAAGGGGTAGTAAGGATTATCCTCGGCCTGGCAGTCACGAGAAGTCCTGGTGTATGTGACATGAGCAGCGTCATCAATCCGCAAGACCCGGCCTGCTTCTGGAAATGTGTCGACAGCAAGTATGGTGTCCTCACAGCCATTGCACGTGGCTTCATTGGGCACCATTGCACTGGGCTGCAACGGCGAACGAGCCTGCTGTTGTGCTTCCTCCACTTCAAAAGCTGTGGCGTCCGCGTCCTGATTGCCCATGTGATCATCCTCCCCATCACTCAGCTCCCGATAATCCTTCATCTCGACCTCATTCTCAATGTCACACATCGTTCGGATCCACTTGCAATTTGGGGCAAGTGCAGTATGCGCATTGAGACGTGAGTGTGTCTTGAATATTTTCTTGCAGGATGGGCAATGTATGATGGTAGTAGCCATCTTGATGCAAAATGCTGGAAGAATCGAAGGGATGAAGTTAATCAATGGGTGGTGTCAGATGACGACACACTATGTTATATAAGCTACCAACTAAGGAGGCAGCAGCAGGAGGAGTAGTCCTAACGTAGTCAATGAATTGTAATCGATGACCTCTAGACTCATTGCAATTGACGGAGCCTGCAGCGGAAATAAAAATGTTGCTCTATCTATATTGTCCCAGAATGCTGCACACTGCGGAAACGCTTCTAGAACTCAAACACGCACGCAGGTTGCTGAGGAGCCCACCGAAACACCGTATGAAAAGCCTGGCTTCTCAAAAGAGTTGGAGATGCCGGTAAAGCTCGAAGGAGGACTGACATGGATCCTGACCTTGAGAACTAACAGGAAAAGCCTGGCTTCTCAGAGTAAGACCCGAAGATGCAAACAGGTCACCGAGGATCTCCAAGAAACTTCGTACGAAAGCCCTGGCTTCTGGATAGAGCTGAAGAAGCTCGTAGAGCTCGAAGGAGGATTGACATGGGTCCAACACGAAAAGCCTGGCTTCTCAAAGTAAGACCCGAAGACGCAAACAGGTCGCCGAGGAACTCAAAGAAACTTCGCATGAAAGCCCTGGCTTCTGGAAAGAGTTGAAGATGCTCGTAGAGCTTGAAGGAGGATTGACATGGGTCCTCGAGGACGATCAGGCTAGGTTGAATGCCAGCGAGACCTAATACGAAAAGCCTGGCTTCTCTTAAGAGGTCTGAATCCGGGGGCTGAGTTGGCTTCAAATCTGGTTATACGAGCAAATCGAGTAAAGCCGAGCTTTACACGAGATCCCGTAGAGCAAGATTGAAGGACAATATTAAAGAAAGATCAAGATGAGAGGGAGGAGAGGAAGCCAAAAAGGAAAGAGGTTGATGATGAAGATGACTAAGCCTAATTACATAAGTAGCCCTCAGGTACCACGCAGCGTCACGGTAGAGAAACAAGAATAGAAAAGACACAACACTCAGTGCTCAGCGTTTGTCAGGTTGGGACTGAGCTGGTGTTGTTATGAAGACACAGGGAACTTGAGGGGAAGCTTCAGTCACTGAATTCATGCGCAGTAGATATATTGTTCAAGCATTCATGTGAGTGCTACTAGCCTACACCAAGTAGTTCTACTCTATCCATGCTCTTCAACAAACACCGAAGACAGATATTATTTTGAAAATGAAGTATGACAAAATTTGCAGTGCTTTAGCTAAACTTGAGCCATTGTTAGTATATTGAGTATGACCAAAGATCGAGAAAAACCACATACCAATCGAGTGACCGACACAGATGAATGATCCATCCAACTTCCGCCCCTTCAAGTGTCCAGGTCCCAGATAGGGTCACGGTCAACGCGGTATCCCAACTTCTGAAATAGATCACGAGCGAAGGCCTCTGAGCCATGAAACGACGGGTCGCCAGATTTGTCGTCTGAGATGGGTTTATAGAATCGTTTCCAATCCTTGCGGGTTTTGGGTGCTTCGGTGTTCCCTGAAGACAAGTTGGCTAGCTGCAACTGGAACCATGCTTCATCTTTTTCCGACCAAAATCCTGACCATCTGGTGGAGGAGGTCCAAATGTCATGAGGAGGCCAACATGTCACCGAGTTTTCCAAACCCTGGCCCAATAGTATCTCCAGTTCCGCAGGAGTGACAGTATCGTCCCAGAGGTCGTCTAGCGTTTCACCGCTTTTCCAGCGAGTGACATCTGAGGATGGCCCCGAGAGAGCTTCTTGGATGAGAGTCTTTGGGCCGAACTGTAAGGCTATACGCCATATGATCCCTCCAACTGTGAGGAAGCGGCGTGCAAACGGGCGATCGAGAAGCTGCTGGACGGTGGCTAGGTAGGTGTTCCAGTACCCAGGCTCACTCAGATCTAGACCAACGTGAGTGCGCTTGGTTGCTAGATACAATGGCCGAGCCTCGAGCTGCGTTGGTGCGGTATACTGAATCGACGAAATGACTCGGAATGGTGCCCCGGATCTGAGTAGACCTGGTATAGAGTCCGCTGGAGACGCGTTTGGATTGGCCAAGAGGTCGTGCGCTACGCGGATGGCAGACCGGAACATCGTAATCAAACATCCAGAGTGAAGGGTTGGCGCTGCGGGAAAGGTGACGCCCTGCATGAATACCTGAGGACCATTGATCCGTAGCTCATTAGCGCGATAGGCGTGCGTTATGAGCCGTATTCCTTCGGCTGCAGACATGAGTCCCTGGGGCTGCAAAAACACCTGGGACATTGATGGCCTGAGCATGAGGGTTGGAACCTGCTCTGCACGCGGGTTCGGGACCTGTTTAGTCTTCGGCTTCTGCTCTGTATCCGGGACCTTCGCGACAGTGTGGACCCTGTCTATCAATGATCGCGAGGACGAGGGTGACGGACCCATCCTGACGTCGTCCACGATGCGATCACTCAGCGTTGGTCGATGCGCTTCTCTGTCTTCTGGGCAGAACCTCTTACTCTCTCCAGTGCGTCCTCGAAGTTCAAGTTGAGAGGAAGATAACTTCCTCTTCCTGTAAGAACGATCGCTTGGGAACGCCAAGCGTTCCTCGCGACGAGGGGAAGGAGGACGTCTGGGCGCCGAGGAAGGCCAATTGGAGGAGGGTCCATGCGAAGAATAACCTTCATCGTAGGCGGGTCTATACCTCGAGTGGGCCTGAGCCTGAGTGCGGTCACCGTGAGAGCGGTAGCCCTCTTCCCGGTAGGGGCGGCTCGTCCTACGCTCATAGTGCTGAGATGAACCAGCATCTCGGCGACTCTCCCCTTTAAATGGACGACCCGGCCGGTCATAGACCTGTTGCTGGCTCCTCCCCGCATCGACTGCAGCCGGTGTCTGCTTTAATAGATGTAAGTGAAAGCCAACAATAAAACTAATGTTAAATGTACCGTCAATACACCCGCTGGCTCGGAGAGAACCGCCCCCGAAACAAAGGAAGATGAGGGTCGTGTCATGGACCGGGGTGAAGAAAGCCTTGGTGATTTTTGCTGTAAATTGAGGTGAGTGAAAGCCCAACAATAAGCTTAATGATGAAACGTACCGTAAATCCATCCATTGACGCTGGGGGAACCACCCTTGCATCCGTTGGAGATGAGGGATGTGAATTGGCCCGAGGTGAAGGAGGGGCTGTCGAGACGTGAGAGTCTTGTGGTATCCAAGGGGCAATGGGAGAGCCAGGTATGAAGGGAGCTTCTCCTTCCTCATGAGGTTCAGTACCACTATCTGGTACTGGGGCAACGGAAACCTCGATGGCCTCGGCGATTGGCGCTGTCACTGTGACTTGCGCCGGCTCCTTGTTGACTGCCCCCTGGGTCGTAACGCCTTGCGTCACTTCTACCAGGGATGCCTCAGACTCAGCGGTCGTAACGCCTTGCGTCACTACTGCCATGGAGGCCTCCGATTCAGACTCAGCGGTCGCAACACCTTGCATTGCTACTGCTGGAACATTCACGTTATCTGTGGATGTCAACGGCTCCTCTCTCGGTAGGGCTGCCATCTTAGCCTCCCAGGCGGCGAGGGACTTCGCCGACACGACTGGTCCTGCGGGCTTTGCGTCGTCATCGTCCTCTGCGTCGTTCTCGTATGCGTAGAAGATGTCCCCTCCAGGTAGCGACTTGTGCACCCCGCGGCACCATTCCGTCAACCTCTTGTACTCGTTTTTCGAGATACGACGGCCCTTGTCCTCTTCTCCTATGCTTTCCACCGCGTAGTACTTTGCGGGCTTCTTCTGCACCGGGCCAGCCGGACGCTTGGGAGAAGCTTCGCGTTCTTTCCCATTCCTCGGGGCAAAGGCGTGAGTCGTCGAATGCCTTATGCTCATCATGAAGGCGTAGTCCGTAGCCTGAAGGACTTTCGGGTCGAAAGGTCCAGTACTGGTCGGGAACCATTGATAGTGTATTGGAACATACTTCTTGAGGAGGGTGCGCAAGTGCGACGGTTCTATCTTGTCGAATTCCACGATGACTCCTCGGTGCCTACGGCCAACAAGACCGATGTCAGTGATCTCACCGACAAGAGGTGCCAGAGCAGTGCACATTCTCCAGTCCGGGTCCTGCAACAAATTGAAGACGATGAATCCGTATTGATCCAATATGTGCCTTCGCGCGTCGGCGATTTGCGCGGCCAAGGCTTCCTCGGACGGGAATGAGTTGTCCAACCAGTTTAACGACAGATAGGGGGGGAGGGTGTACCCTAGCTTGGCAGAGTAGATCGACATTATCGTGGTGACGATGGGACGCACGCGCTCTCTGGTGGAAAAAATGTACCTACGCACAGTGGGGGATAATTTCCAGCCCGACGCATCTGAAACGCCCCAAACCCTGCCCAAGTTGAACGGAGCTGACACCCATTTACCTTCCGGGAACCTATCGTGCTCCTCCAAGTCGACAGGGATGCAGACTCGATATGGGCAGGAGCTGTCCCAGTAGTCAGAGGAGATCGACCAGTCATGGCCCTCGAGGGTTCCGTCAGGAAGCATCTTGCCCATTCTTTCGTCGGGCCGTGGAGGAGCGGGTCCTACTTTCGGTTCACTATCATGAATAGCGACCCAGACGTGCTCCTGCCCATCCGTTGGAGAGGCTACGCCTCGACACAGGTGCTAGGCAGATGGTGGGCAGAACCTGTGTCTTCTCGTGGGAAACTGCTACTCTAAAGATGCTTCCAACAGGGTCCGAGACCTCCAGAACCCGAAACCTAACTAAGAATGCCCCTAAGAAGTCCCTGGTGCCAA